CCCCAAAACCCCAAAACCCCAAAACCCCTAAGAATAAAATTTATGAGATTTAAGGCAATTTCTTGAAAGATTTAATATCACTATTGTTTATTAATTACTTTAAACATTTAGCTTAATATGAGTGGAGAAATGCCCGGTAGACTGCCTCATAAAATTAGTAATAGCTAATCTCAGCTTCTCAAAATACCTCACTAAAACTTTTATGTTCAAGTACCTTCGATGCAAAATATAAATTACAATGCATTTCAAAGGTTCAAAAATCAATCATAGCAGTTTAGCCCGTCTATGTAGACTCTGATTAGTGATCAGCAGTAAATATTACAAAATAAAGTTGGATTCTAATTTAATAACCCAAACACACCCTCAAGGAAAAGAGTGTTCAAAAGTTTTTTAAATCAAGATATTAAAAGTGAGTTGAGAAATACCTAATAGAATCAGAGAGTAACATTACCCTGATCTCTTACAGATATGTAAATACTTTCTCCCTAAAATTAAAAATTTGGCTCTATAAATGAAAGACTAAACCAAGAACTTTTTAATTTAAAGTCAACAAAGTCTATATCCTATCCTAGCATGTAATTTGACGTAGGATAGCAGCCATTTACAAAATCATCACTTATAAACACAAACCATAATCATTAGAACAGTCACAGATTCATGTATCTCAGAAATGCTCAACTCTCTAAAAAGAGTGAAGAAAATATAAAAGAACTGAAAGACAAGTACAATTCTAACAGACACAGCAATCCTTTTGGGATCAGTATTTTTTAGGGATAATCCTAAAAGTCTCTCTCTATTTCTTCCTAGAAATAAATTAAAAAATAGCCTTCATCTTCCCTATAATTGAATAGAAGTAGCTAGATATATTAGTAATCAGTAAAGCAGGAAACACCAAAGCATTAGCAATCCTTGACCTCTCATTAACATAGAAAAAGTAAAGATCTGTCATCATAGAACACTTCTTTCAAAAAATCAAGGTCTACAACTAAAAAACTCACAGATGAAGAATATGATAATTAAAGACTTCAAATTTTTGCTAATAGAGAAAATCAGAAGTTCTTGATAAAGATACATGAAGTTTAAGACGACAAATCTCGTTAAAATGATAACAGTGATTTCGATAATTCATCAAAATTGAACTTATCAACTCACAGAAATAATAACAATCATTACAAATGAGGTCATTCAGAATTTCAAGCAGCATCTACTTAAAAGTTTATGACCTATAATCTTAGTAATGGCCCTACTCCTTAAAACAAAATAGCTCGCAACTCTACAGGATCTTTAACAGAACCTCCATTGTTCTTAAGAAGAGCCTCTAATATTGGGTTGAGTAAAAAATTAAGATCCCAGTAAACATAGAAACTTGCCAAAACAGTAAAAGATACTTTTAATAAAGATCCTTCTGAGTAATCTGACTTTAACAGTATTAATTCATTTGATAGTGGGACTGATTCTAATAGAACGAGATAGAAATCAGAGCGTAAGAAAAACATTAAAGTCACCTAATTTGCCTCTAGCTTAAATTAAGCAGAGTAGGTTGACAATGCACTGATGGAAGCTGTTTTAACAAACAATGTCAAAAGAGTCTAAGATTATATAAGCGGATTCCCAAGCTAGTATGAGAAGTAGAAAAAACTTAATCAAAGGGATAAATTCAAGCGAACTCCACTTTTCTATGCACTCTATCATAATAACTATGAATTGGTGAACTTCCTTTTGAATGAAGGGGCTGACACATTATTTTCTGATTCAACAGGAAGGACTCTTCTTCATTATGCATGTATGTTAGGAGTATAGAAGCCAATTTTACATTTACTCATAGACTTTAACAATAAATACGATTTGACACAAGGACATATAGAAGAAGCCCAAGAAGAATATTTGAGAAGACAACTAAGTAAATTTGACATACCGCCAAAAAAGCCAAGACAAAAGACTTCAATTATTCCTTAAGTAGGAGCAGGAATGGCAATGTAGCTGAATATGGAAGCAATAAAAATGGGTCATAAGTAAATCGTGCCTATCGTGAATAATTAGCCAATGACGTCTCTACTTCCTAAGAAAGGCAAATAACTTGATCCTTTGGTATTAGATGTTGAGAGATCAAGGAAATCGATAACTAAGGATGACTCTTATGATCCTTAAAAAATCTTCATGAAGAATATAGTAGAAGAATCAGCAAGTGGTGATTCTCATGAAAATAGCTAGTATAGTTCAAGGCTTTAGTAGGTTGCCTTGGGAATGCCAAAGCAAAGTAGTATCTTTTAAAATAGAAAGTAGAGCAAGATTGGAGCCTTTGGTTTAGGTCTAAATTGAAACAATAACTAGTAAGTAGATGAGCTACAATATAAAAATGAAATGGAAAGAAATATAAAAAAGAGCAAAGGATATAATGGAAGATGTAAGAAATTCTTAAATTTATGCGATAAGTAAGGGAAAACCGCACTTCATTATGCCTGTTTCAAAGGTAAAGTTCAACTTATAAATTCATTAATGAGATACAATGCTATACCACTTATTAGAGATCATAAAGGAAGAGTAAGAATTACAAATTTTAACATTTTTCTTATAGAAACCAATCGATATGATTGATGACCAAGATATCAAGGAATAAATGCTTAAATTTGAAACTATGTATGAAGAAAAGTACTCAGGAAATCCAGGAAATCTCAGAAAAAGTTTAGTTTTAGATGACTATGATAAGCATAGATCCTAAAATAATCATTAAACAGAGTCGAATCTGATGTCTAAAGCTGAAGAAATCGAGGAATAAATAGAAGAAGATGAAGTAAACACGACAAATAATGATTAAAAAGATGAAAGTTAGAATAAATAAAAATTCAACCAAAGAATGGGTAGAAGGTTGCAATTTACCAAGACTGAGCTGGCATCAATGAGTGATTAGATACTTTCCAGTTTTTGTATTGGCATCTATAAGGATAATGCATTGACATTTAAAATGAGGTTTGATGATAAGGAAAACTTTAAGTACTTATTATTAAGGAAAATATTGGTGACAAATCATGACTTGAACGGAAATAATTGTATTCATTATGCTATATAGCTTGAAAAAACAGAATTTTTGTCTTTTTTGATGGAAGGAAAATTTGATAGCGAAATTATGAAAATGTGTGAAAAAGGAACATAAAGTATAAACGACTAATTTACTCATTTGATGGCTAAAGAAGTTTGTGAAACAATAAGAACTGCTAAATATCCTTGGATGCCTCATGCTTTAAAAGCACTTGAAAAGAGCAACATAAAAGAAGGAAATACTTGTTTACATATGGCTATAGATATAGGCAACAAGCAGATATTTAACTATGTAATGACTTTTCTTAAAATCAGGGATCATATGAGAGGTATTGATAAAAATAGATATTGGAACTTATTTCAGCTATCGTAATCAGTCATCGAATTCAAGAACAAACAAGATAATACTCCCTTATTATTTTCAGCTAAGAGAAACTAATATGACTTTTTTGAAATTTTAGTTGAAAATGGTTGCAATCTTTACACTTAGTGCAATAAATTCATGAATGTCCTTCACTATGCAGTCTTAAATGAAAATCTTTCAATGATACAGTAGATAGTGTATGCAGATGCTGAAAGTGATAAACTAATGAAAGAAAAGAACTTCAGAGATGAGACTCCAGTGATGCTGGATGATAGAGGCAAATATGACAATATCTTTCATCATATATGGGAAGCATGTTCAATCAATAACAGTTAAATGATGGAAAGGCTTGAATGGCTAGTGAAAACCGAGAAGTATTATGTAAATCAAAAGACTCTTGTCGGTTAAAATACCCCATTGCATTTTGCAGTGATCCATGAAAATTTAAAAGCTATAGAATTCCTTTGTAAGCACAATGAGATTCAGATAAATGAAAGAAATATCTTGGGTCAGACTCCCTAAGATTTAGCACTTTTAATCCCAAAAAAGAAAATATCTCTAAAGATAATAGAATATTTGAACAAAAAGGCTTTATAAATTAGCAAGAATAAGAATGGGAAATAAAATTTATAACCTACACCCCCGACACTCTTGAAAAATTTATCGTGCCTTCCAAATCTAAATAACAATTCAGATAGTAGTTTTGTGTCAAAAGGAAATAAAAACAGCGGAAATTTATAAAGTGGTAAATCAAATCATGGTAGTTTACTAGGAATAGTTTCTTATGGAAATCACTAATTAAAGGATACATCCCCAAGTGGAAGGAAGAAATTTCCCGCAAACATGAAAAGTACTGATAAAAATCTCCCAGTAAAGCATTTCTAGTCTATTATTTATGAAAATCATAAGACTAGAATTGTAGGAAGACTCTCACTATAACCTAATATTATTGATACCACCTCATAACTTTAGGCTAAAATTAGAACTTCTTCCCCAATTTCTAATTCTTCTGATGAATCAGATAAAGAAGATAGTGGTCTTAATTTAGCAAATAATATGTAGGCCCATAGTAGTCACATGCTTTTGGATGATATCGTTAAAAGAAATAACTCCAGTTGGGAGCCTTAAAATCTTGAGAAATTTATATAGATTTATGATGCTTACATTGAAAATGAAGAGACTATTGGAGTATTTGGCGCAGAAGTGTTTTAACGTTGGAAAAGCTCTTTGATTAAGCAAGATGATAGTAAGAAGTAAGAGTCAAGGGAGTGGTTCAAGCAAATAGATTTAAAGAAAAAGGGAATGATTACTATTAATCAGATTATTGATTCTAATGACGTGCTAGATGACATGTTTATAACATAGCTTGAAAAGGCAAAATTCATAGATTACCTCCAAAGATAGTACAGTGAAACCAAGATTTCAGAAGAGGTTTTTATTAAAATATTGATGAATAATCAATACAAATAATGATATTATTCAGACTAAATTCATTAACAAATAAAATTCAAAATGCCTTGTTATTTTAATAATACGGGGTTTTGGGGTTTTGGGGTTTTGGGG